AAATAGTAGTTGATATGTGATTAATAAATTGCAAGAGTAGGTTTAGTAATCAGAAGAGATTAGATATAAGAGTACTTCAGAGATAAAAGAGTACTCCAACTGATGCCGTGTTCTGCCATCTAGGTGTTTCTTGCTTCATATTACGTGAACGATAAAAGTAAGTTAAAGAACGACGTCAACTTTAACAAACGACCTGTTTAGCAGTTTTAAATCTTGACCATTGTTAAGAATGGTATTTCTTTCGACTTATGACTACTGTTCAAAGGTTTTACTACTATTCGTTTCAATTATGCTATCTTATCGCTTCAACAGTGATGAATGTTGTTGCTGTGTATCTCGGCTCTCACGGGAGAGCGGAAGCGAGGGAAACCCTCGTTGAAAAAAGTAGGTTATTAAAGCTCTCTGCAAGAAATAAGGACATTTAATTAAATTTGGTGAGCACCGCGTGGGTTGAAACGTACACACATTTTTACATTCTGTGAAAAGTCACTACTAAAGAAAAAATAGTAAATTGCACAAAGTACAGTTTAGCGGTGCAATAGGCCTCAAACTCTGATCTTGAAGAGTTATGAGTTATCTGACATCCTCAGATGAATTAACATACCGTAAAGTTTTAGTTTATGCAGTAACACGTATTGGGCTTCTGGTGCTGAAACTTCGTTGGCAATGAGCGTTGGTAGTTTTAGGTGACAAAATGATACAAGATGCATCTACCACTGCAGGTGTTCAAATGCCACGGGGCTGTGGCATATTGAAACGCTCTCCTTCCCTTGTAAACAACCAGGAGCAAGGGGACGGTGTAATATGCCGTTATATGCAGTCTTGAAGGAGTTATGCGTTATTGGGCACAGTCCGGCATGCTAACATAATAATACGTTTATAAAGCAACGTTTATGTCATATGCAGTGCGACTTGCCGGCAGAAAGCCATTGATCCGCAGTCGTTGATGGTTTGCTTGGAGTGAGGAAACGAGTTGCGGATCAGCTGCCTGCGCCGCTCAGTCAACTGGGACAGAAGTTGCAGTTTCTCTGCATGGTCCTTGTCAATGACCTTCGAATTAGCAGTACCTAAGTATTAAAAATTCAGTTACGAATTCAGACCTTGCTTATCTGTACAGCATACCACTGATCTTCGGATCGGTTAGTGGCAGGAGCTTTGAATTGTTGGTGTCGAGGATGCACGAGCGATACATGACTGAAACACAATAGTATGACCGATTTCGCTCAAAACCGTTGATTCTGCTTCAGCCAATGAAATTTGTGCTTATGCCCAACCATGGCAACCGTGTGCTGCATGACAGAAAAGACGCTTCAAGCAAAGCTTGGGCGATTAAACGCGTCTCATTTGAATTTACTATACGCTGCTGCTATTTCAACTCAAAACGAAACTCAACTTGACATTCAGATGATTTCGAACGACAACTGGTCGATACGCCAAACTAAAGATCGTTCTTGTGTGCTGGA